GGAAACATCATGCTTTGGGGCTGTTTTTCTGCACAGGGACCAGGAAGACTGATCCGTGTAAAGGAAAGAATGAATGGGGCCATGTATCGTGAGATTTTGAATGAAAACCTCCTTCCATCAGCAAGGGCATTGAAGATGAAACGTGGCTGGGTCTTTCAGCATGACGATGATCCCAAACACACCGCCCGGGCAACGAAGGAGTGGCTTCGTAAGAAGCATTTAAAGGAGTTGAAAGTCTGTGTTGCCCAGCGACAGCCCCAAAACATCACTGCTCTAGAGGAGATCTGCATGGAGGAATGGGCCAAAATACCAGCAACAGTGTGTGAAAACCTTGTGAAGACTTACAGAAAATGTTTGACCTGTGTTATTGCCAACAAAGCGTATATAACAAAGTATTGAGAAACTTTTGTTATTGACCAAATACTTATTTTCCACCATAATTTGCAAATAAATTAATAAAAAATCCTACAATGTGATTTTCTGGATTTATTTTCTCATTTTGTCTGTCATAGTTGACGTGTACCTATGATGAAAATTACAGGCCTCTCTCATCTTTTTAAGTGGGAGAACTTGCACAATTGGTGGCTGACTAAATACTTTTTTTCCCCACTGTAGGTTTAGTCAATTTTATAAAGACCAGACCACTAAAAACAAGAGTCTTCTCTGCTATCTGTGAGGAGATGGGAGCTGAACATCAAGCTGTGCTGTTTCACAGTGAAGCAAGGTGGCTGTCACGAGGAAAAGTCTTGTCCCGAGTTTTTGAGCTCAGAGAGCAGATAAGAATGTTTTCGGAGCAGGAGCACAAGTATGACCTCGCAGAAAAATTTAGTGATGAGAACTTCCTGGCAAAACTGGCCTACCTGAGTGACATATTTGGAAAGCTAAATGAACTAAATCTACAGCTTCTAGGGAAAGATAAACACCTCCCTCAGGTCACAGACAAGATCAGCTCTTTCACTCGAAAGCTTGCAATGTGGGGCAGGCGACTTGATGAAGGAAATACTGATTCATTCGAGAACCTGCATGAATTTGTTGACACTACTGACTATGATGCCACCTCAGTGATTCCATATATTAAGGAGCATATTTCATCACTGATGGGATTCTTTAAAAAGTACTTCCCTGAAAACAGTTCCCATTATGACTGGGTGAGAGATCCTTTTAATGCACCAGCTCCAACTGGTTTCAGCTCTGCAGAGGAGGACCAGTTCATTGATATGATGTCTGACTCCACATTGAGACTGAGGTTCACATCACAGACACTGAGTGAATTCTGGCTGAGTGTAGAGAGGCAGTATCCACTCTTAGGGCAGAGGGCCATGGGCATTCTTCTTCCTTTTGCAACATCTTATCTTTGTGAGACTGGCTTCTCTGCTGTTGCTGCACTGAAGACCAAGTACAGGTCCCAGCTAAACATTGAGCATGAGCTGAGAGTTGCAGTATCATGCTTCAAACCCCGCTTCGAAAAGCTGTGCACTGCAAAACGTGCTCATTGTAGCCATTAATCCTGACTTCCTCATTTTGCTAAAAAAAAAAATCAGCACATTGTTTTATTCATTTTTGTTTTATAGGTCAAAGTGTTTCATGTATTGTGCTCCTGAGTTAATGTTGCTGATCAATTTGAATGTATTATTATTTATTGATTTTATTTTATTTTTCAGTATCAAATGGTCAAAAAATGTTTACAGTTTAAATAAGGCTTGAATATTTTTTTTAATTTCAGGCAAATTGATGCACTTTAAGTATTTTCTGTTACAGACTAAAAAACAATGTTAATAAAGTTATTCTTTGTTGTAAGTTGATCTATATTTCTTTTTTCTTTTTTTCTTTTCTTTAATTTTAATAAGGATACAATGTTATGCAGAGGTGTACTTAGTGGTCCTCTGTAGCTCAGCTGGTAGAGCACGGCGCTTGTAACGCTAAGGTAGTGGGTTCGATCCTCGGGACCACCCATACACAAAAAAAAAATGTATGCACGCATGACTGTAAGTCGCTTTGGATAAAAGCGTCTGCTAAATGGCATATTATATTATATTATAACAATTTTATAGACAAATGATACTATTTCCAGTCGCGGCGGAGAGTTGGGGGGCGCGAAATGTTTACTTCTTCCTAGGGGGGGGCGCAACAGAAAATAATTGAGAAGCACTGCTTTAACGGAATGTAGATAGGAAGCCACAATTTTACCCCTCAAAGACATGAGAGATCCATCGCACCCTCTTCACGACCTCCCTCCACTCAGAGAGCACTGACAGTTCACGGCTTCTCAGTTCCACCTGCTAGGACAAAGCCATTCCAACTATTTCCTACATTCTGCTATCAGACTCTATACTGGTAGAGATACATTTAACGTCTACATGATTCTATGGTATATTCAAATCAAATACAATTTTATTGGTCGCATACACATATTTAGCAGATGTTATTGCGGGTGTAGTAAAATGCTTGTGTTGCTAGCTCCAACAGTGCAGTAGTATCTAACAATTCACAACAATACACACACATCTAAAAGTAAAAGAATGGAATTAAGAAATATCTAAATATTAGGACGAGCAATGTCGGAGTGGCATTGACTAGAATACAGTAGAATACAGTATATACATATGAAATGAGTAAAACAGTATTAAGACATTTTTAAAGTGACCAGTGTTCCATTATTAAAGTGACCAGTGATTCCATGTCTATGTACATAGGGCAGCAGCCTCTAAGGTGCAGGGTTGAGTAACCGGGTGGTAGCCGGCTAGTGACAGTGACTAAGTTCAGGGCAGGGTACTGGGTGGAGGCCGGCTAGTGATGGCTATTTAACAGTCTGATGGCGTTTTTCAGTGTCTCGGTCCCAGCTTTGAGGCACCTGTAGTGACCTCGCCTTCTGGATGATAGTGGGGTAAACAGGCCGTAGCTCAGGTGGTTGATGTCCTTGATAAATCTTTTTGGCCTTCCTTTGACATTGGGTGCTGTAGGTGTCCTGGAGGGCAGACAGTGTGCCCCCCGTGATGCGTTGGACAGACCACACCACCTTCTGGAGAGCTCTTCGGTTGCGGGCGGTGCAGTTGCCGTACCAGGCGGTGATACAGCCTGATAGGATGCTCTCAATGGTGCACCTGTAAAAATGTGTGAGGGTCTTAGGGGCCAAGATGAATTTCTTCAGCCTCCTGAGGTTGAAGAGGTGCTGTTGTGCCTTCTTCACCACATTGTCTGTGTGGGTGGACCATTTCAGATTGTCAGTGATGTGGACGCAGAGGAAATTGAAGCTTTTAACCTTCTCCACTGCGGTCCCGTCGATGTGGATGGGGGCGTGCTCCCTATGCTGAAGTCCACAACCAGCTCTTTTGTTTTGTTGACGTTGAGGTTATTTTCCTGGCTGTTCTATATTGTTTTGTCTCTTGCAATTCAAGAGTCAATGCAATTCACACTGTGCCAATGCGCGAGACTGCTCTCTACACAAAAACAAAACTGAAACTATAGAACTGCAAATGAGCCGTCGTGGGGCAGTGTGCCCACAAAAGCCTGGGACTTGGTTGGAGGCAGTACAGGGTCGTATTCACTAGGCACCAAACAGAATGAAAACGGACTGAAACTGCAAGGGACTACCTTAACTTGTCCTATAAGAAACGCTTGTTTTTAGTTTTTCATTGCAAGGGAGTTTTGCTACGGTCCGCACCAATAAATACGACCTAGTACTTACATAGGTTACAACAGAGCTACCTAACCCTCTTCCTGGAGATCTACCCTCCTGTGGGTATTCAGTCCAACCCGAACCTAACATACCTGATTCAGCTAGTTGAGGGTCATGTTCCATGCCCTGACCAAATTGCAGATAATGCATTGCATCAACCAATAGTTGCATAGCACGTCATCTGCATGCCACGTCATCGACTGTGCAGTCGGGCATTAGATTGCTATACCGCTATATCATATGGGTCGCATTCCTGCTTGACTACATTGCAGACGGCTGCCAGATCTTGCAATGTAATGCCCGACAGTCGATGACATAGCACACAACCATTGGTTGATGCAATGCAACGTCTTCAACGTAATCAGGCAGGAACACCACCAATATGTGGTTAGCTGATATGTTCAACACTAGCCTCGTGTGGCAATCCTTCCAAATCTTGTCTCGTTGAATCGTGTTGGAAATCTTGAGAAATCCAGTTTAGGATTCTGGGTTTGAATGGGAGTGTAGGTTTTTCTTCAAACCCTTATCTAGTGCACCTAACTGACTGGTTGATAAGCTGAATCACTTTAGTTCCTACTGGGTTTGGAGCGAAAACCTACAGGATGGTAGCTCTACAGTGATTTGGGATTTTTTAAAAATAAAATAAAAGTAGAGGCCAATAAATCATCTAATAATCGGAACTAATTATGCTAATATGTTATGTAAAATATCCAAACGTTGTAATACACCCATAAATTAAGAAGCAATGAAGTCCACCTGGAACGCACCTGTGTCGACCTGCAACCGCAGCCTAGCAATGAACGCACCCGTGTCGACCTGCAACGCGCCCGCGGGCTAGCAATGTGGTGATTGAGCCAGCAGCTAGCTGGGCCACGAGTTGCCGGAGCTCGTTTAGAGTTTACGTTTTACGTTTGAAATGTTTTTATTAATTAAGGTGCTGCAAATGCAATGCTCACTTGTTTTTATTAATTACAATTTTGCTTCCTACTGCGGGCAAGGGTGGTCTGGTTGTCGGCCATGCTGGAAATGTGATCTCGCGTTATTGTGTCATTGTCAATACAGTACATGTACACCACGATATAAAACGTTGATTTGAACCTTCTGACCAACTAGTGGATCAGGCAGCGCCCCACTGTCTGATTGATATCGCGTGATTTCTGATGATCGTTCTCGATTATATCGACTGATTGGTTCAGTATTGGGTGCACCCGTACTGAACGCAACCCGAGGTCTTCATGGGTAGTGGGAGGGAGCGACATCCTGTGTTTTTATTGGTGTTTTGGAGTGGCAAGTGGAATCCTGAACTATGATTGGTTGCCTTGCCGTTTATATAAAAATGGTAGAACCGTTCTTCCTTCTTTCTCTCACAAGGCGAAGAAAGGGAGGCTTCGCCATTGTTCAACTCCGACCAACATCACCGTCACCCTCGGTCAAATAATTAATCAGGTAACTACAAAATAGTTGAATTTAATAGTAATGTAATAACCAAATCAGTTTTCAGTAGTAATTAATTTAGCTGGCCACAACCAGATACACTTTATATCCGTGATTGGCCGGCAAGTTATTAACTTTAACCTGTCTGAAGACCAGGCTGGTTAACGTTAGTTAACCCGTTGGCATTTTACCTTGCTAACTAATGTCCCCTAGTCGACGAATTAAACCTGGTAAAACCTACCTAACTGAACTAGCTATAACTTGAGTTACTGCATTATCTTTACATTATCCATTTGAGTTGACTTCGTTTTGAGTAGTGTGCTAACGTTTGCTAACAGCTAGCTACTTAACCTTTGCTTGCGAACTAGCGGTCAGTCTTTGTTTGGTCGTGTGCAATCCATAACAGCTAAAAGGTAGCCAAAGGTAGTTTGACATTCGATGGAGAGTTTGAAATTGTTTTTGTTACTAAGCTAAACGTTTGTATTTTGTATACCAGGAAAAGGCGCGCGATCACCCTTGTGGTTCTCGGCCTAGTTATAGAACGTTCTGGAAACTCAACACCCCGCGTGGTGTGACGCACATGCGGACGTCGATTTATAATTTACAGAAGTGTAATACCGGTACATACCGATATCTGTTACATAACTTCACTTGGTATAGACATGAGCACATTATCTTGAGAATTAAACTATTTTATTGGTAGGAAGCTACTTTTGATTCTCTTCTGAAACTGTGGTTCTGGTGTTATACTTTATAATCTATTTTATAGAGAAGCTTCTCAGCACATATTTCGTGAGGATAGGACTTAACCATTGCAGAGCTCATTTTCAAGTGACGGAGAAAGCTCGAGGACAGGTCGCTGTTAATCTCTGGTCAATAATGGTACCGACTCACCTGTATGAACTTGTTGGTCGACCTGACCATAATAAACATAATGTGAGTTATAGATCTCTCGTTGAAAACAATTCTAAGAAGCGGCAGTTCTAATCTATGTGCGCAATTTCTGTGTTTCCGTTTCTGAAGTTGCCCTTTGGCATCTTTTACATTCTGTTTTGTACTCCATTAAGTCAGTAAATGTTTTTCCTGTGAGCGCAGTGTTCTCATTGCAGTTTCTCTAGAGTTAATCAGATCCAGCCTGGACTGTGCCACGTAGTAGGGAGTTTGTAATTTCCAACAGGCCAATTTTCTACCACTGTATTTTGAAGACCACATTGACATTTAGCGAACACTGATTTGTTTACTGCGTTTTTGTTGAATTAACGCATAGCATCCATTTGTCTTCACCTAACACCCGGCTATTTTTCATTGTTTAGGTAACATGTCTAAGGGACCAGCAGTTGGCATTGATCTCGGGACCACCTACTCCTGCGTGGGTGTGTTCCAGCATGGCAAGGTTGAAATCATTGCCAACGACCAGGGCAACAGGACCACTCCAAGCTACGTTGCCTTCACTGACTCTGAGAGGCTCATTGGCGATGCCGCCAAGAATCAGGTTGCCATGAACCCCTGTAACACAGTATTCGGTAAGTTTTAAGTTCTGGAAATTTCTCATGAAATTAGTGGATTTGAATGGTTAAATGTGTTATTTTTGGCTTTATGGTGTGCCAAAGCTTGTTCACTGTGATGAAGTTTATTCCTGCCATTCGTAGTTTCCACCAGAGGTTGAAAGACCAAAGATGGCCCAAAACCTTCCTTGGATGTCTGAGTGACAAGCCATATAGCACACAAGACTCCGTATGGCTGTAGAAAAGGTTAAATATAATGTAACTGGTTATTGTCTTATTGCAGATGCCAAGAGACTGATTGGCCGCAGGTTTGATGATGGAGTTGTTCAATCGGACATGAAGCATTGGCCATTTGAAGTTATCAATGATTCTACTCGGCCTAAGCTCCAAGTTGAGTACAAAGGAGAGACTAAGTCCTTCTACCCAGAAGAAATTTCCTCCATGGTTCTGGTCAAGATGAAGGAGATTGCTGAGGCCTACCTTGGAAAAGTAAGCTTTCTAATTATACAGACTGACTTATACGTGTTACTTTCCTTCTGTACAGGAAGGTGTAGTTTTAAGTTTGCCATTACTAGTCTATGTGATTATTCAAATGTATCATTGACATTTTCTCTCCCTAGACTGTCAACAATGCCGTTGTTACCGTACCTGCCTATTTCAACGACTCCCAGCGCCAGGCAACCAAAGATGCTGGCACCATCTCGGGCCTGAATGTACTGCGTATCATCAATGAGCCAACTGCTGCTGCCATTGCCTACGGCTTGGACAAGAAGGTGAACTACTTTCTATGATCTTTATTCTGTTGAAAAGGACTGCAGTGCTTGTTTGCTGTGATGAAGTTTACTCCTGCCATTCGTAGTTTCCACCAGAGGTTGAAAGACCAAAGATGGCCCAATACCCTTCCTTGGATGTCTGAGCGAATATCTAGCCATTCCATAGATCGGTTCTTGCTTGTACGCGCTCATTGCAAATACTGAATATCCTCTGTTTCAGGTCGGTGCTGAAAGGAACGTCCTTATCTTTGATCTGGGTGGTGGCACCTTTGACGTGTCCATCCTGACCATCGAGGATGGCATCTTTGAGGTCAAGTCCACTGCTGGAGACACCCATCTGGGTGGAGAAGACTTTGACAACCGCATGGTCAACCACTTCATCGCAGAGTTCAAGCGCAAGTACAAGAAAGACATCAGCGACAACAAGAGGGCTGTTCGCCGTCTCCGCACCGCCTGTGAGAGGGCAAAGCGCACCCTGTCCTCCAGCACCCAGGCCAGCATCGAGATCGACTCTTTGTACGAGGGAATCGACTTCTACACCTCCATCACCCGGGCTCGCTTTGAGGAACTCAACGCAGACCTTTTCCGTGGCACCCTGGACCCAGTGGAGAAGTCCCTCCGCGACGCCAAGATGGACAAAGCCCAGGTACACGACATCGTTCTGGTCGGAGGCTCCACTCGTATCCCCAAGATCCAGAAACTGCTCCAAGATTTCTTCAACGGCAAAGAGCTCAACAAGAGCATCAACCCCGACGAGGCTGTGGCCTATGGCGCAGGTGGGTCACTGATCAGTTTGCGCTGTGGCCAATGTGCTGCTATAACTAGCCCTAACTCAATAGTTTCGCTGTGATGAAGTTTACTCCTGCCATTCGTAGTTTCCACCAGAGGTCGAAAGACCAAAGATGGCCCAAAACCTTCCTTGGATGTCTGAGCGACAATGGCACTGTGAGTCTAAAGTAATGTTTTTCCATGCGTCTAACCTCTCATTCTCATTTTCAGCTGTCCAGGCAGCCATACTCTCAGGTGACAAGTCTGAAAATGTCCAGGACCTGCTTCTGCTGGACGTCACCCCCCTGTCCCTGGGTATTGAGACCGCTGGAGGTGTCATGACTGTCCTGATCAAACGTAACACCACCATCCCAACCAAGCAGACCCAGACCTTCACCACCTACTCAGACAACCAGCCTGGTGTGCTCATTCAGGTGAGAAAGGGCCTGCATGAAATGTCAATTTCAGGGCAATGTTTCCTCATTCCGTTGGCCACTCTGTGATGACGTTTACTCCTGCTATTTGTAGTTTCCACAAGAGGTTGAAAGACCAAAGATGGCCCAATACTTTCCTTGGATGTCTGAGCGACTGTTTAGTGAAATGTACTTCTCATTTGAAGACCATGTATGTTTTGCTAATATTGACTGTATCCTCCAGGTGTACGAGGGTGAGAGGGCCATGACCAAGGACAACAACCTGTTGGGCAAGTTTGAGCTGACTGGAATCCCCCCTGCACCTCGCGGTGTTCCTCAGATTGAGGTCACATTTGACATTGATGCTAACGGCATCATGAACGTGTCCGCAGCTGACAAGAGCACTGGCAAGGAGAACAAGATCACCATCACCAATGACAAGGGTAATACGTTTGTTGTGATGGCGTCGTAATGTAACACTATGGCAAATGGGCTATAATTACTAGCCTTAACCCCAATAGTTTCGCTGTGATGAAGTTTATTCCTGCCATTCGTAGTTTCCACCAGAGGTTGAAAGACCAAAGATGGCCCAAAACCTTCCTTGGATGTCTGAGCGACAAAAATAGTACTTTTGCTTCTACAATGATGTACAGTTGAGTAGTTTTCGTTAAACATTGGTTGATTTGATTGCATTTTTCCATAAGGTCGCCTGAGCAAGGAGGACATTGAGCGCATGGTCCAGGAGGCTGAGAAGTACAAGTGTGAGGATGATGTGCAGCGTGACAAGGTTTCCTCCAAGAACTCACTGGAGTCCTACGCTTTCAACATGAAGTCTACTGTGGAGGATGAGAAACTGCAGGGTAAGATCAGTGACGAGGACAAGACCAAGATTCTGGAGAAGTGCAACGAGGTCATTGGCTGGCTGGACAAGAACCAGGTAAGAATTTATTTGGTTGGACTTGAACTGTCTTAGACCACTTGCTGTGATGAAGTTTACTCCTGCCATTCGTAGTTTCCACCAGAGGTTGTAAGACCAAAGATGGCCCAATACCTTCCTTGGATGTCTGAGCGACTTAAGATAAATATATTTATAATTTGAAGTCAATTATGTTTTGCTAATGTTAACTGTATCTGTCTGCATTTCTCAGACTGCTGAGAAGGAAGAGTACGAGCACCACCAGAAGGAGCTGGAAAAGGTGTGCAACCCCATCATCACAAAGCTGTACCAGGGTGCTGGTGGTATGCCTGGCGGTATGCCTGAGGGCATGGCTGGCGGATTCCCTGGAGCTGGTGGCGCTGCTCCTGGAGGTGGTGGATCATCTGGACCAACCATTGAGGAAGTCGACTAAACCATTCCATTGTTTCTGCAACTACCTCCCCCTAACAAGCAAAGTTTGAAATGTTTTCTACCCTCTTGTGGCTTTGAGTCTCGTGACTTTTGTCAAGGAGTGAAATGTAAGTTAGAATAAAGGTGGAGGGATCACACATTGCAACTTTGTTTGCTACACAACAGGGAACAGTAATTTTCTGTTTGCGCAACTAAGCTGTCAAATTTCACATGGCGTATTTTGTATATTTTCTCAGTTGTCATCTGCCTTTGTCACAATGCCTTTAAGACTAAATAAAATATACGGTGACCTTTCACCTTTACTTCTAAATGTTGATTTGGGTGCTTTACTTGGCTGCTGTTCACAACTTTTGATTAATGAGTTTCATCTCGCTTGGAGCTTCCCACAAACTTCCAGCGTCGGAAGAACGTCTTGAGGTCCTGCCTCACTTTTCCAGCACTAATTCTGAATAGATTGTTTCTTAATTACTTGGTGTGGCATGAGAGCCTGCTATTTGCAGTTGATTATCATGGGCTATTGGTTAGAAAATACTTGGGTGGTGGCAGTGACCAAGTAAATACAGATTGCGGTCCTCTGTAGCTCAGCTGGTAGAGCACGGCGCTTGTAACGCCAAGGTAGTGGGTTCGATCCCTGGGACCACCCATACACAAATGTATGCACGCATGACTAAGTCGCTTTGGATAAAAGCGTCTGCTAAATGGCATTTATTATTAATTGCTTTTTTTAGAGTGAATATTGCGCATTATCCTTAACTTGAGCCAAAGCCAGACATGCCCAATAGTACATTAGATGTACACGGCACCATTTACTATGGATGCAAGGACTGACACTGCATGAGATCAACAGTTTTTTAATAAAAAATACAAGCTTTCAAACTAACAGCACTGCCCTATTGCAGAGCTCTTGGATTCTGTGGTCAATTTATCTTAAATGTCTCCACTTCTGTGTGTCCATCTCTTTTTCCACGTTTCCCCTTCCGGGTCAGAGGGAGTTCATCATTAGGGTGACAGAGGACAGCCAAACGCTAAAAAAGGATATTACATGGGATGGTTAAAACAATCATTTTACATATGCAGCTTAGTTTCACACTGGCACCATCATATACCAAAAACATTTAATACTGTTAAATGGATACTACGAGATTCTGGCATTTAAGCCCTTCTACTTTAATGGCTAAAACAAAGACTGGCCAATGGCTTCTACCCCCAAACCATCAGGCTGCTGAAAAGCCACCACTACTCAGCTACCTTCCCCCCTCATTATCTACCCTGCCCCCACCCCAATGGACATTTATCTTTCTGATTCGCTGCTCTTATTACCCCCCCCAACTGACAATTACCCCGATGGACTTGTATATATTTATCGGCAGTTGTAAACATGTATATATTGTTTCATTCACACCTGCATTGTTGGACCTCGGCTCTTACGAATTTGACTGTACACTGCAACTACATTGCGACCCTGTGCATGTGACTAAAAATTATCTACTTACCCAGAGTCCGATGAACTCGTGGATACCATTTTCATGTCTGCATGAAGGAAGTTAGCATTGGCTCGTGAAACTACTAACTAGCGTTAGCGCAATGGAAGTCTACAGCTACAGTAGCAATGTTACCCAAAAATGGCATCCACTAGTTCATCTGGGTAAGTAGAACAAGGGCTTAAATGCCAGAATCTGTTTCCCTTTAAGAGTATAATTCTCAGCATCCCTTCTCTATTAAATACATGTATTATTATGTTGTATTTGACAAGAGCGGCAGGTAGCCTAGCAGTTAAGAGCGTTGGGCCAGTAACCGAAAAATTGCTGGTTCGAATCCCAGAGCCGACTAGGTGAAAAATATGTTGATGTGCCCTTGAGCAAGGCACTTAACCCTAATTGCTCTGGATAAGAGCATCTGCTAAATGACTGAAATGTGTGTATTTGACTAAGTACTAACCTGCCTGAGGCTGCCTGTGCCAACACAGATCTTGCCAATCCCCCACAGTGGCACCAGGAGGATGGAGGAGAGGGCCATGGCCCAGCCCAGTGCATAGGCCCAGTCTGGGTACACATACCAGCGGTTAAACCTGAGGGGCTTGTAGTCCACCATGTGTAAGATGAAGGAACTCTAGGAAGATATGGAGGAAAAGCAAAGCACCCAATGAGTAAGGCCTAGATTCAAGCCATAGCACGGAAGATCCGCACAATTTAAATTTAAAGGAAATGTTCCAGCGTGGGCGGAGGCTGCATTCATGGTAAATGCTGCATACAGTAATGTCGGTTCAATCAGAAATTAACTTTACATTTCAATCATCTGCGCTACGGATTGAATCTAGCCATATGTCTACTTTTATAAGATATACAGCTTTAAATATTTACCACAAGCACCATCAGATCACCAATCTGACTCACCAGAGACACAAGTGGGGTGAAGTAACGCCAGCACAGTCTGAAGAGGACACACGGTCTCTGTGCAGTCATGTCCTTAATGGCATCCTCCATGTGATCTGCCCCTGGGGATTTTAAAACAGGTTTACTGACAACTCACGCATAGCCACGGGAAGTAGTTTAGGTGCTGCAGTCCTTTTTAGTAGACAGTCTTATCCAGAACAACTTACAGTAGTGAGTGCATACATTTTCATACAGGTCCCCTGCGGGAATCGAATCCACAACCCTAGCATTGCAAGCGCCATGCTCTACCAACTGAGCCACATCACATCATCCCAAACCACTTGATGTTACAATGTAGTCAATTACTGTATTGTGCATTGTTTTTCTTCATGGTGATGGAACGTCTACAGGTACAAACCTAGATGCCAAGCCTATGTACAATACAGTAATACATTTACATTAAGTGGTTTGTAAGGATGGTAAATTAATACTGCACAAAAAGTGGTTTTTTTCCATGTTATTTGATCAACAAAAATACTCAATTTGATGTGGATGTTTCGTGTCTTTGCCCATAACTTTGCAGCTTTTGAGGTATATGTTTGAGGACAGGGTTTTGTTCTTTCTGAATTCCATTAGGATGACAATAACAGAGAAAGGGACAGGGCAACTACTCTTACAATTCCAACTATTGAATCCTGCAAGATACTGTTCTTAATTATACAACTACTTTTTTTTGCCAAAGTGGAGATGCTGATTTTTGTTGTTGTTGTCTACGCTAAAGATGTCTATATTGGTCTGCTAATACTAGTAAAGGCCCAGTGCACTACTTTTGTGAAAAAATAATTGTTTCAATATTTTGTATTTATTTTCTAAACTTAGAATAAAAAATGTTTATAAAATAAAGACAAAATATGGAAACAATTATGCTGCTCAGCACACCCTGAAAAATTAGAATAAAAAATGTTTATAAAATAAATGTTCACAAAAGTAGTGCACTGGGCCTTTACTAGTATTAGCAGACCGATATAGACATCTGTAGCGCAGACAACAACAACAAAAATCAGCATCTCCACTTTGGCCAAAAAGGTTGTTCCCGCGGCTATGACCTCAAGTCAAGGAGACAATGAGAGGAAGCCAGTTTACATACCAAATGATTACAAAAACTGAGTGGTTGTGTAAAGTGTAATGGGGTTTTTTAACCACTACAACTCCAGTGCTTGAAATGAAGGCTAATGTATTTCCAGCATCATGACCAGGGTGGAAAAAGTGGATTTACACTTACCAAAGATCCATCCCACTGCCAGTGACTCAAACACAGCCACAAAAAGGACACAGGCTCCACTGCAGCCGTAGTAATCAATGAGCTGGAACACGAAGATCCCTCCCTGTATATTAGAAGAACCCCAAAAATGTCCTGTACAAATCAAAACTGGATGGTGTTCAGAGATAGATGGGAGGGGTTGAGGGTAGCTGAAGGGACAAAAAAAACCCAAAAGATAACTATTGTAAAATATACTGTGTCCGTAAAATGTATGTTGTATGTATAAGCTGGAAGTAGAAGCCTAAGTGTTGTTGTCCATTAGTTTACTCCAATTAAGGGAGGGGTGGTAGGGTTAGGGGAAAATAATAAAGGAAAATATATAAATAAAATAAATATACACTACCGTTCAAAAGTTTGGGGTCACTTAGAAATGTCCTTGTTATTGAAAGAAAAGCAATTTTTTTGTCCATTAAAATAACATCAAATTGATCAGAAATGCAGTGTAGATATTGTTAATGTTGTAAATGGCTATTGTAGCTGGAAACTGCTGATTTTTAATGGAATATCTACATAGGCGTAGAGGCCCATTATCAGCAACCATCAGTCCTGTGTTCCAATGGCACGTTGTGTTTGCTAATCCAAGTTTATCATTTTAAAAGGCTAATTGATCATTAGAAAACCCTTTTGCAATTATGTTAGCTGAAAACTGTTGTGCTGATTAAAGAAGCAATAAAACCTTCTTGAGACTACTTGAGTATCTGGAGCATCAGCAATTGTGGGTTCGATTACAGGCTCAAAATGGCCAGAAACAAAGAACTTTCTTCTGAAACTCGTCAGTTTATTCTTGTTCTGAGAAATGAAGGCTATTCCATGTGAGAAATTGCCAAGAAACTGAAGATCTCTACAACGCTGTGTACTACTCACTTCACAGAACAGTACAAACTGTCTCTAACCAGAATAGAAAGAGGAGTGGGAGGCCCCGGTGCACAATTGAGCAAGAGGACAAATACATTAGAGTGTCTAGTATGAGAAACAGACGCCTCACAGGTCCTCAACTGGCAGCTTCATTAAATAGTACCCGCAAAACATCAGTCTCAACGTCAACAGTGAAGAGGCGACTCCGGGATGCTGACCTAGGCAGAGTTGCAAAGAAAAAGTCCAGTGTCTGTGTTCTTTTGCCCATCTTTAATTTTTATTGGCCAGTCTGAGCAATGGCTTTTTCTTTGCAACTCTGCCTACGTCAGCATCCCGGAGTCGCCTCTTCACTGTTGACGTTGAGACTGGTGTTGAGGACCTGTGAGCCGTCTGTTTCTCAAACTAGACACTCTAATTGCAAAAGGGTTTTCTAATGATCAATTAGCCTTTTAAAATGATAAATTTGGATTAGCAAACACAACGTGCCATTGGAACACAGGACTGATGGTTGCTGATAATGGGCCTCTGTGTGTGTATATATTCCATAAAAAAATCAGCCGTTTCCAGCTACAATAGCCATTTACAACATTAACAATGTCTACACTGTATTTCTGATCTATTTTATTTTAATGGACCATTTTTTAAAATTTCTTTCAAGAACAAGGACATTTCTAAGTGACCCCAAACTTTTGAACGGTAGTGTATATATTTTCCCAAAAAATATATGGGGGATTGGAAATGATGCAGACAATTACATTGATGGAAGCCACAAATCTATCTGCAATATTATCTCTGATCCTGTTCAGTGCCTAAACATGTTGAGAATTTTCATATTCAGGTGGGAAGTGTAGAATCAGAGATCGAGCACATGGAAGAAATCATACACAATATCACTGAAGACAATTAGGCAGTGAAGTCAGTAAATCAACATTGTAGTCATTGCAACACTTCCAGATAATGATTGTTATGGAACATTCTTTACCTTGCAGTCTGGGCCTAGACACGCCAGTGTGCAGAGGGCACGACTTTATTCACATATCTGGACAGAGAGTCTAAAACAGTTGATTAGGAAGCTAATTCAATGTCTCACCTCTGTGATCAGAGTCAGCTGTATGAGGAAGCAGGAGAGACAGAAGAGGAGCACAAAGCCCTCTCGATATCTTGGCCTTCGCAGTGTAACAGGAAACAAGTCTGTGAAAGAGGTTATCACTCCCTCCATTATGACAAACTGAAATAGAAAAGGAAGATAAAAGTGACATCAAGATACAGTACATTGTGGGATCAACACAACCCATTTTTGATTAACTGTTGCATGTAGACCACACCCAGCTAACAAAGTTTGGTTCCCAGGACGTTGTGGGAAAGTTATTTGTCAAATAACCAAAAGAGAACCTTAAGGGAATGTTACAAGAACATTCTGTGTTAGCTGGGCATGGTCTTTAGGTACCTGTGTGTCTATTCCCAGCAGAAGAAGCATGAAGAAGAAGCAGACCGTCCAGAGCTGTGGGAAGGGCATCATGGCTGCTGCCTGGGGGAAGGCGATGAACGCCAAACCAGGACCTAGGAGCAACAGTAAACAGGAATAGGAGGAAAATAACTCTTAGCAATGGAAATTGAGCATGAAGTACGTTTTGCATATGATACAGATGCAGTTTTTCGTGTGCATGTCCTGGCTCAGTATGCTACAACATTATGGATGGTTATCAGTGCCAATTCTAAAATGCAATGCTGAATTGGAATGTGAAAAGTAGAAATGCAGTGCTTAAATGCTCAATTGGAATGTGAGAATTATGAATGCAAATGTTTTAAATGCTCAATTGGAATGCGAAAATGTTAAATGCATTCATCATTTTCACATTCAAATTGAGCATTTAAGCATTGCATTTAAAGCACTGATGATTACCCTAAATAATGCTGTGGTATGCTGAGCTGACTGCATCCGTAAAACATTTTTACATGTTTTTGACAAGCACAGAGCTGTAACAGAAGGCAACTGTGATGGCCACACCATACCTGACTCTGCCACCATCGCGACAGAAACACCCTGTTTCTGTGCCATGAATCCCAGCACTGAGAAGACTGCAAATCCGGCCACAAAACTGGTACAACCATTCAGCAGACACAGCCAAAAGCTGTCCCTGAATGGACATAAAATATGCTAATTATAACTGCGGTCAAACTAATAAAATTGGTCAAACTAATAAAATTGGAATAAGTTGTTCTGATTTAAATTCTACATATCCATTGCAGTATACAGTGAGGGAAAAAAGTATTTGATCCCCTGCTGATTTTGTACGTTTGCCCACTGACAAAGAAATGATCAGTCTATAATTTTAATGGTAGGTTTATTTGAGTCAGAGACAGAATAGCAACAAAAAAATCCAGAAACACGCATGTCAAATATGTTATAAATTGATTTGCATTTTAATGAGGGAAATAAGCATTTGACCCCTCTGCAAAACATGACTTAGTACTTGGTGGCAAAACCCTTGTTGGCAATCACAGAGGTCAGACGTTTCTTGTAGTTGGCCACCAGGTTTGCACACATCTCAGGAGGGATTTTGTCCCACTCCTCTTTGCAGATCTTCTCCAAGTCATTAAGGTTTCGAGGCTGACGTTTGGCAACTCGAACCTTCAGCTCCCTCCACAGAGTTTCTATGGGATGAAGGTCTGGAGACTGGCTAGGCCACTCCAGGACATTAATGTGCTTCTTCTTGAGCCACTCTTTGTTGCCTTGGCCGTGTGTTTTGGGTCATTGTCATGCTGGAATACCCATCCACGACCCATTTTCAATGCCCTGGCTGAGGGAATGAGGTTCTCACCCTAGATTTGACGGTACTTGGCCCCGTCCATCGTTCCTTTGATGCGGTGAAGTTGTCCTCTCCCCTTAGCAGAAAAACACCCCCAAAGCATAATGTTTCCACCTCCATGTTTGATGGTGGGGGTGGTGTTCTTGGGGTCATAGGCAGCATTCCTCCTCCTCCAAACACGGCGAGTTGAGTTGATGCCAAAGAGCTCCATTTTGGTCTCATCTGACCACAACACTTTCATACAGTTCTCCTCTGAATCATTCTGATGTTCATTGGCAAACTTCAGACGGGCATGTATATGTGCTTTCTTGAGCAGGGGGACCTTGCGGGCGCTGCAGGATTTCAGTCCTTCACGGCGTAGTGTGTTACCAATTGTTTTCTTGGTGACTATGGTCCCAGCTGCCTTGAGATCATTGACAAGATCCTCCCGTGTAGTTCTGGGCTGATTCCTCACCGTTCTCATGATCATTGCAACTCCACGAGGTGAGATATTGCATGGAGCCCCAGGCCGAGGGAGATTGACAGTTCTTTTGTGTTTCTTCCATTTGCGAATAATCACACCAACTGTTGTCACCTTCTCACCAAGCTGCTTGGCGATGGTCTTGTAGCCCATTCCAGCCTTGTGTAGGTCTACAATCTTGTCCCTGACATCCTTGGAGAGCTCTTTGGTCTTGGCCATGGTGGAGAGTTTGGAATCTGATTGATTGATTGCTTCTGTGGACAGGTGTCTTTTATACAGGTAACAAGCTGAGATTAGGAGCACCCCTTTAAGAGTGTGCTCCTAATCTCAGCTCGTTACCTGTATAAAAGACATCTGGGAGCCAGAAATCTTTCTGATTGAGAGGGGGTCAAATACTTATTTCCCTCATTAAAATGCAAATCAATTTATAACATTTTTGACATGCGTTTTTCTGGATTTTTTTGTTGTTATTCTGTCTCTCACTGTTCAAATAAACCTACCATTAAAATTATAGACTGATCATTTCTTTGTCAGTGGGCAAACTTACAAAATCAGCAGGGGATCAAATACTTTTTTCCCTCACTGTAGGTGTTTTGAGAAAAAAAAAATGTATCATCAAAACTGAACAGTCTTACATGTAACAGTTATTGTTGTATTTGTTGAAGCTTCCCAAAACAGTTTGACTGCCCCGTCCAATACAGTAGGAGAAGAACACCTGAGTTCCTGCTTCCATCCAGACCTGTTTGGTGAGAGATTCATTAGTGCATGTAGAAATTCAACAGACTGAAATTGTGTGGAATGCAAAGGCTTGATCATAGTGTAGCTTGAAATTGTTCTTCAATGAATGTGCAAATGAAATGGTGCAAATGTTTACTTGGGGGTCTGCAAGGCGGACAGGGTCTGGATACAGGTAAAACTGAACCCCCTCCCAAGCTCCAGGTAAAGTCAACCCTCTCACCAGCAACACCAAGAGCATCAGATAGGGAAATGTGGCAGTGAAATACACCACCTAATGAAATGGGGACAGTATGGACGAAAACAAAACTTACCACCATAGCACAATTACCACCTGTAACTAAACAATCAGATTTATGGTAGTTCCATGGATGTGTGAAGTAATTTAACATTTACTGGTGTAATCATGTATAGTAGTAAGATATACAGAAACTCTTATACAGACCTTTCCTGAGTACCTGATTCCTTTCCAGATACAGAAGTAGCAGACAGCCCAACAGGCGAGGAGACAGAGCATCAGCTCCCATCTTACACTGCCCACCTCCTCAATGCCTCCAGAGATAGCCAACACACGACGCCTGGGGGAGGGCAACAGAAGCCCCGTTTATACCTGGTGACTAGTCAAGCCCGTGCTCTCACTTTTATTAGTCTAACATGGAAAAATTTTATCAGCCATTTTGGAAACAGTGAGTAGCCTAGCCACAGTATATTCTGGAGCCTCTGCCAGTGCCACACAGCTAGATTGGAGATTTGTGAATGTGAGATGGAGATTTCCTACCATGACTGTGAGATGGAGATTTCCTACCGTAACTGCGTCGAGAGGTCGCCTACACATGATAGTCAGCAATGCAATTTATAGAAGCCATGCAAGTAAGTGATGTTTTCTATTGGGGACTTTATGTTGAGTAAATATGGTAGGCCGCTAGCATTGTGATGTCTGGTCTAATGTATGAAAAAAGCCAGAGAGTTGATGTTTGTTTTATGCAGCTATTCGCACCTGCATATTTTGTGTTTTTGCATTAGTGCGGCATACAAATTATTACTTGTCCGAGGTCTCATATTATAATTTTTTCTTGGCAATTGGGAAGGAACTTCATCTGGCAATATTGGGATTCTGGTTACCGGTGTTAAACCCTAGTGCGAACATGCGTCCTTTGTCCTGATCTTATCCACATTCTGATTGTGCCCACATTTTCAGACATGCGTCTACATATGGTATAGTGTACTGTCCACTGTGTCCAAATTGTGAACAGATTTCCTGGTCCCTCCCTGTATGCAAATTATTTGACAGATATTAATTCAAAAAGTTTTATTTATTTTAGGACATAGGCCTATAAATGGTGCCACCTGTCAATGATTTTAGAGGGTGGGATGATGATGATTGAAATGGTTTCACTGTCCATATCCATCTAGACTTGTAAGAAATCCAGACACAATGCCTGACTACCTCCGGAGGTGGTTAGGAAGATCAATGTGTCTTTTAATCATCTACATCTGTCTAAAGATGTGGGCAAGATGAGGACAAAGGTCGCATGTTAGCACCCGGTATAAACAGGGCTAGAGGGACACTTTCTGATCAAGCTACATTTAAGTTGCATCTAAAATGGTACCCTATTCCTTATATAGTGCAATACATTTCACATGCGGGCACTGGACAAAAGTAGTGCACCATTTTTTATTCTAGGGAATAGGTGCCATTTCAGATATTGTACATCATTTTAGAGTAAGATAATTATTAAAGGGAGGTCTTGCAGGGTTTTCATATACAGTATTTATCTTATGCTGCTTTGTGTTGTGTGGGGCAGGCTACTTACTCCCAGAACTCAGTGGCAGCAGAAGTAGTGGTGATTTTTGAGGTCCAGTTTGCTGTATGGTTTAGTGAAGTGAAATCCACACATTGATCTAATAAAAAAGTAATTAAAGTCAAATGGAATTCTCTCCCAAAAACATATATACAGTATATATTTATGTTCCCAACTTTGTGTATCATTGTTTTCTGGTAAAATGTAACCTATGTTTTACTCCCATGCAGAGAATGTAGGCCTACCTACCTGTGTTCCAGGTGTTGCCACAGCTGGCCCAGGGTAGCTGAGAACTGAAAGAGAACACCAGGTAGAAGAGAGTCCATGCCAGGATCACGAGGTAAATGATAGAGTCATAGATCAGGATGAGAAGCTCTGCCCTGCCAACACCTGCGGAGAATTAACACGTAATATGAGGCGGGACATTAAAGGGATAGTTCACTGAAATATTGATTTATTTTCTCTGTATAAGTCTTTGGACAAGGAGAAAGCATGGATTGCTTACAGGGTAATGAAAACAATATGTAATTTGGTAATTCGGGTGAACTATCCCTTTAAGCTTTTGGCCTGTAGTAGAATGAAGGAGTATGGAAACATCTCACCTTCAGCAAGCGGACATAAGCTCCTCCAGCAGGTGACGATGCCCTGTTGGGTGTACTGACCGATTGATGTCTCGAGAAGGAACAGAGGAAGACCACATAGCCCAACGTACAGTAGGTAGGGTACAAGGAAGGCACCTAAGAACAGACACATACATGTATGTTGTGAACTCGCAATATAGACAGGCTACTAGTGATTTTGCGCCCTATAGACCCTAACCAAGCTCCCTTTTATTGGCTAATTTATATTCATACTGGTAACTGGTATCTTTACTTAACCCACTTTTTTAAGAAATATGGATATTTCAAAAAATATTCACACCCCTTAACCTTTTCCACATTTTGTTGTGTTACAGCCTTAATTAAAAATGGATTACATTGAGATTTTGTGTCACTGGCCTACACACAATACGCCATAATGTCAAAGTGGAATCATGTTTCTAGAAATGTTTACAAAGTAATTAAAAATGAAAAGCTGAAATGTCTTGAGTCAATAAGTATTCAACCCCTTTGTTATGGCAAGCCTAAATAAGTTCAGGAGTAGAAATTTGCCTAACAAGTCACATAAATTGCATGGACTCTGTGTGCAATAATAGTGTTTAACATGATTTTTTAATGACTGACTCATCTCTGTACGCCACACATACAATTATCTGTAAGGTCCCTTAGTCGAGTTGTGAATTTCAAATACAGATTCAACCACAAAGACCAAAGAGGTTTTCCAAAGAAGGGAACCTATTGGTAGTTGGGTAAAAAAAATAATCTGGGATTTCACCATGAGGCCAATGGTGACTTTAAAACAGTTACAGTGTTCAATGGCTGTGACAGGAGAAAACTGAGGATGAATCAACAACATTGTAGTTACTCCACAATACTAACCTAAATGACAGAGTGAAAAGACGGAAGCCTGTACAGAATAAAAAATATTCCAAAACATGCATCCTGTTTGCAATAAGGCACTAAAGTAAAACTGCAACAAAAAAAAAATGCTTTATTAACTTTATGTCCTGAATACAAAGCCTTATGTTTGGGGCAAATCCAGCACAACACATCACTGAGTACCACTCTTCATATTTTCAATCATGGTGGTGGCTGCATCATGTTATGGGTATGCTTGTGATCAGCAAGGACTAGGGCGTTTTTTAGGATAAAAAGAAACAGAATAAAGCTAAGTACAGGCAAAATCATAGAGGAAAACATGGTTCAGTCAAATTCACCTTTCAGCAGGACAATAACCTAAAACACAAGGCCAAATATACACTGGAGTTGCTTAACAAGACATCATTGAATGTTCATGAGTGGCCTAGTTACAGTTTTGACTTAAATCGGCTTGAAAATCTATGGCAAGACTTGAAAATGGCTGTCTAGCAATGATCAACAACCAACATGACAGAGCTTGAAGAATAAAAAAAAAAAAATTCGCAAATACTGTACAATCCAGGTGTGCAAAGCTCTTAGAGACTTACCCAGAAATACTCACAGCTGAAATTGCTGCTAAAGGTGATTTTAACAGGGGTGTGAATACTATATTTAAATGTCAATACATTTGCAAAAATGTCTAAAAACATGTTTCCACTTTGTCATTATGGGGTATTGTGTGTCCATTTTGAATTCAGGCTGTAACACAAAATGTGGAATACTTTCTGAAGGCACTGTGACCTTTATCATTGCAGGAGTAGTATGAAAAATGTATGCACTCACTAACTGTAAGTCGCTCTGGATAAGAGCGTCTGCTAAATGACTAAAATGTAAATGTAAATGTAACATGGACACCAAAATGTCTTTGTTATGTCATTTCGTAGCCCTATCACAATATCATTTTGTGAATAAGCATACTAGGCTACTGTGTCGTGTTGTCATTCTAAATATCCTGAATAATGGAAGGAAAAAGCGTTGGGTGTTGCGCAATAGCCTATGCTGCACACAGGTTAGCGTTTTTTTCATCATGAATCATGTTCTGGAGGCAGCTTGGTCACTATAGCTGGCACAGCCACAAAGTCATAAAATCTGATTTTAAACCTAACCCTTACCTTAACCCTAAAGTTAACCACACTGCTAACTCTAATGCCTAACCTTAAATTACAACCAAAAAGCTCATTTTTGTTTTCCTTAATTTTTACGATATAGCCAATTTTGACTTTGCAGCTGGCCTATCTAATGGGAAATCGCTCAGTTCTGCCTCCAGGACAAGACTCATGACAATAAACGTCAACCTGCATCCTACACAATTGTACACAGCTAGACTCGGTGTCCAAGCCAACTTATAGAAACATGAAAACATGACCTCATTACCTTTATGCTTTTTCTGTAAAATGTAACTAGACCCTGCTGTAAATCAAGCAGACAACAGCAGATTATCAACTTCAATTAGCAAAATTACGTTGAAAATACGTATTTTACGGACGTTAAACTCACGTTCATTTTCGGTTGTAAATTAAAGTTGAAAGTAAGTATTTTATGGACATTGATAAGACGTCAGTTTTTGGTCATGGTTTCTATGGCCACATTTCAAACGTTACATATTTTCACTTATATCTACAGTGCATTCGGAAAGTACTCAGACCCCTTTACTTTTTCCACATTTTGTTATGTTACAGCCTTATTCTAAAATTGATTAAAGTGTTTTTTTCCCCCTCATCAATCTACACACAATACCACCTAATGACAAAGCAAAAACAGGTTTTTAGAAATGTTTTCAAATGTATTAAAAGTAAAAAACTGAAATATCATATTTCCATAAGTATTCAGACCCATTACTCAGTACTTTGTTGAAACACCTTTGGCAGCGATTACAGCCTCGAGTCTTCTTGGGTATGACGCTACAAGCTTGGCACACCTGTATTTGGGGAGTTTCTCCCATTCTTCTCTGCAGATCCTCTCAAGCTCTGTCAGGTTGGATGGGAACGACGCTGCACAGCTATTTTCAGGTCTCTGCAGAGATGTTCGATCAGGTTCAAGTCCGAGCTCTGGCTGGGCCACTCAAGGACATTCAGAGACCTTTCCCGAAGGCACTCTTGCGTTGTCTTGGCTGTGTGCTTTGGGTCATTGTCCTGTTGGAAGGTGAACCTTCGCCCCAGTCTGAGGTCCTGAACGCTCTGGAGCAGGTTTTCATCAAGGATCTCTCTGTACTTTGCTCCGTTCATCTTTCCCTCGATCCTGACTAGTCTCCCAGTCCCTGCCGCTGAAAAACATCCCCACAGCATGATGCTGCCGCCACCATGCTTCACCGTAGGGGGTGGTGCCAGGTTTCTTCCAGACGTGATGCTTGGTATTCAGGCCAAATAGTTCAATATTGAGTCCTTTAGGTATTTGTATTTTATTATGGGGTCCAGCAAAATTAAGGCAGTTCATACAATTTTTAAAACATTACAATACATTCACAGATTTCACAACACACTATGTGTCCTCAGGCCCCTACTCCACCACTACCACATATCTACAGTACAAAATCCATGTGTACGTGTGTGTATAGTGTGTATGTTATCGTGTGTGTGTATGCATGTGTCTGTGCCTATGTTTGTGTTGCTTCACAGTCCCCGATGTTCCATAAGGTGTTTTTTTAAATCTGTTTTTAAAATCTAATTTGACTACTTGCATCAGTTACTTGATGTGGAATAGAGTTCCATGTAGTCATGGCTGTATGTAGTACTGTGCGCCTCATATAGTCTGTTCTGGACTTGGGGACTGTGAAGAGACCTCTGGTGGCATGTCTTGTGGGGTATGCATGGGTGTCTGAGCTGTGCGCCAGTAGTTCAAACAGACAACTCTGTGCATTCACATGTCAATACCTCTCATAAATACAAGTAGTGATGAAGTCAATCTCTCCTCCACTTTGAGCCAGGAGAGATTGACATGCATATTATTAATATTAGCTCTCTGTGTACATACAAGGGCCAGCAGTGCTGCCCTGTTCTGAACCAATTGCAATTTTCTTAAGTCATTTTTTGTGGCACCTGACCACACGACTGAACAGTAGTCCAGGTGTGACAAAACTAGGGCCTGTCGGACCTGCCTTGTTGATAGTGCTGTTAAGAAGGTAGAGTAGCGCTTTATTATGGATATACTTCTCCCCATCTTAGCTACTGTTGTATCAATGTGTTTTGACCATTACAGTTTACAATCCAGGGTTACTCCAAGCAGTTTAGTCACCTCAACTTGCTCAATTTCCACATTATTTATTACAAGATTTAGTTGAGGTGTAGGGTTTAGTGAATGATTTGTCCCAAATACAATGCTTTTAGTTTTAGAAATATTTAGGACTAACTTATTCCTTGCCACCCACTCTGAAATGAACTGCAACTCTTTGTTAAGTGTTGCATTCATTTCAGTCGCTGTAGTAGCTGACATGTATAGTGTTGAGTCATCCGCATACATAGACACTCTGGCATTACTCAAAGCCAGTGGCATGTCATTAGTAAAGATTGAAAAAAGTAATGGGCCTAGACAGCTGCCCTGGGGAATTCCTGATTCTACCTGGAATATGTTGGAGAGGCTTTTATTAAAGAACACCCTCTGTGTTCTGATAGATAGGTAATTCTGTGTCCACAATATAGCAGGGGGAGTAAAGCCATAACACATAGGTTTTTCCAGCAGCAGACTATGATCGATAATGTCAAAAGCCACACTGAAGTCTAACAAAACAGCCCCCACAATCTTTTTATTATCAATTTCTCTCAGCCAATCATCAGTCATTTGTGTAAGTGCTGTGCTTGTTGAATGTCCTTCTCAATAAGCATGCTGAAAGTTTGTTGTCAATTTGTTTACTGTAAAATAGCATTGTGTCTGGTCAAACATAATTTTTTCAAATAGTTTACTAAGGGTTGTAACAGGGTAATTGGTCGGCTATTTGAGCCAGTAAAGGGGGCTTTACTAGGTAGCGGAATTACTTTTGCTTCCCTCCAAGCCTGGGGGCACACACATTCTAGTAGGCTTAAATTGAAAATATGGCAAATAGGAGTGGCAATATCGTCCGCTATTATATTCAGTAATTTTCCATCCAAGTTGTCAGACCCCGGTGGCTTGTCATTGTTGATAAACAATAATTTTGTCACCTCTTCCACACTCACTTTACGGAATTCAAAATTACAATGCTTGTCTTTCATAATTTGGTCAGATATACTTGGATGTGTAGTATCAGCAATTGTTGCTGGCATGTCATGCATAAGTTTGCTAATCTTGCCAATGAAAAATTCATTAAAGTAGTTGGCAATATCAGTTGGTTTTGTGATGTATGAGCCATCTGATTCAATGAATGATGGAGCTGAGTTTGCCTTTTTTCCTAAAATGTCATTTAAGGTGCTCCAAAGCTATCATTCTTTATGTCATTTATCTTTGTTTCATAGTGTAGTTTCTTCTTATTTTTATTCAGTTTAGTCACATGATTTTTCAATTTGCAATACGTTTGCCAATCGGTTGTGCAGCCAGACTTATTTGCCATTCCCTTTGCCTCATCCCTCATAACCATAACATTTTTCAATTCCTCATCAATCCACTGGGATTTAACCGTTTTTACAGTCATTTTCTTAATGGGTGCATGCTTATTAGTAACTGGAATAAGCAATTTCATAAATGTATCAAGTGCAGTGTCTGTTTGCTTCTCATTACACACCACGGACCAACATATATTCTTTACATCAACAACATAGGAATCACTGCAAAACGTATTGCATGACCTCTTATACACAATATTAGGCCCAGCATTTGGAACTGTGGTTTTCCTAGATATGGCTACTATATTGTGCCTTTTGGCAAACACCAAAACACCTCCTCCTCCATGCTTTACGGTGGGAACTACACATGCGGAAATCATCCGTTCACCTACACTCCGTCTCACAAAGACATGGCGGTTGGAACCAAAAATCTCCAATTTGGACTCCAGACCAAAGGACAGATTTCCACCGGTCTAATATCCATTGCTCGTGTTTCTTGGCCCAAGCAAGTCTCTTCTTCTTATTGGTGTCCTTTAGTAGTGGTTTCTTTGCAGCAATTTGACCATGAAGGCCTGATAAACGCAGTCTCCTCTGAAGAGTTGATGTTGAGATGTGTCTGTTACTTGAACTCTGTGAAGCATTTATTTGGGCTGCAATTTCTGAGGCTGGTAACTCTAATGAACTTATCCTTTGCAGCAGAGGTAACTCTGGGTCTTCCATTCCTGTGGTGGTCCTCATGAGAGCCAGTTTCATCATAGCGCTTGATGGTTTTTGCGACTGCTCTCGAAGAAACGTTAACATTTCTTGAAATGTTCCGTATTGATTGACCTTCATGTCTTAAAGTAATGATGGACTGCCGTTTCTCTTTGCTTATTTGAGCTGTTCTTGCCATAATATGGACTTGGTCTTTTACCAAATAGGGACATCATCTGAATACCAACCCTACCTTGTCACAACACAACTGATTAGCTCAAACGCATTAAGAAGGAAAGAAATTCCACAAATGAACTTTTAAAAAGGCACACCTGTTAATTGAAATGCATTCCAAGTGACTACCTCATGAAGCTGGTTGAGAGAATGCCAAGTGTGTGCAATGCTGTCATCAAGGCAAAGGGTGGCTACTTTGAAGAAACTCAAATATAAAATATATTTTGATTTTTTTAACACTTTTTTGGTTACTACATGATTCCATATGTGTTATTTCATAGTTTAGATGCCTTCACTACTATCCTACAATGTAGAAAATAGTAAAAATAAAGAAAAATCCTTGAATGAGTAGGTGTGTCCAAACTTTTGACTGGTATTGTAGGTTTTGATTCAACTATGTTCCCTCTTTAAATGTTAATGTTGTAACATGAAAGAAGTTACAGAGTTTTATAAATGACTTTGTAACAGCCCTAAACAGTCCACTACAAAAAAATCCTCACTGCCACCCTAACTTATAGAAAGACCCATATGGGGGATTCCCCAAATGTAACTCACCTCCACCATTCTTATAGCAGAGATAGGGGAACCTCCATACATTTCCCAGGCCGACCACGTTACCACAAACTGTGAGGAGGAACTCTGTTTTAGAGCTCCACTGTTCCCTCTTCCCTTCCTGAGTCTCCACGTTCATTCTCTTCTTTTGTCCTGTAGTATCCCCTGATCTCTAACTTGGTGTTTGCTATTAAGAATGTACTGGAACTCTCGTTGTGTCACCACCCTACCACTGGATCTGTAGTGAGTGAGGAGGATCTGCTACTCCTGGGTTCTATTTCAGTGGACTCGGTTCAACATCTCACTATGGGACATACCCTCGTGCAGGTCATTCGCTGAAGCCTTATTCGATCACACCTAACAGGCCAATCAGGGCTTTGTGGGTGTAAGCCCTGCCGGCCTATATAACACCATGCAATGCCCTGGTTCCCTAATTTTTCGACTCTTCACAAGTCTGTTGAATCTGAGCCCGTTTAAGAGCTTTTTTAAGAAAACCTAGCTCTCAACTTAACTGTTCAATTCGGTGTGGGTTACCACTTCACCTCCACAGAGTGAAGTTACCTAAGCTAGCTTGTTAGCAGCACTGTTTGTTGTCAGCTAGCTACAGTACCTCACGCAATTAGTGCTGTTAGCTTGCCAGCTCCACTGCTTTAGTATCCTGCAAATAGCAGTTTTCCACTAGTTTTACCAGCTTCTACTAGTGGGCTCTAGCTCTCCGTCGGTTCCCACTGTTCAAAGTTGGCTAGCTGAACTGGTGAGTGTCCTAGTTAGCTAGTTGGCTAATGGCACCACACATGGTTATAGATAGCAACCTTTGGGCTATCCCACCGTAAAGCATGGAGGAGGAGGTGTTATGGTGTGGGGGTTCTTTGCTGGTGACACTGTCTGTGATTTATTTAGAATTCAAGACACACTTAACCAGCCTGGCTACCACAGCATTCTGCAGCAATACGCCATCCCATCTGGTTTGGGCTTGGTGGGACTATCATTTGTTTTTCAACAGGACAATGACCCAACACACCTCCAGGCTGTGTAAGGGCTATTTTACCAAGAAGGAGAGTGATGGGATGCTGCATCAGATGACCTTGGCTTCACAATCCCCCGACCTCAACCCAATTGAGATGGTTAGGATGAGTCGGAGGGCAGAGTGAAGGAAAAGCAGCCAACAAGTGCTCAGCATATGTGGGAACTCCTTCAAGACTGTTGGAAAAGCATTCCAGGTGAAGCTGGTTGAGAAAATGCCAAGAGTGTGCAAAGCTGTCATCAAGGCAAAGGGTGGCTATTTGAAGAATCTCAAATATAAAATATATTTTGATTTGTTTAACACCTTTTTGGTTACTACATGATTCCATATGTGTTATTTCATAGTTTTGATGTCTTCTCTATTATTCTACAATAGTAAAAATAAAGAAAAGCCCTTGAATGAGTAGGTGTGTCCAAACTTTTGACTGGTAATGTATAATAAAGATGTAGCCTAAAGACAAGATTACATTGACAATAGTCTGATGGGTGACAATATTTACAATTGTTAAACTGTGAATGAAGAGACTGATGAACAGTGCAGTGTGTATAATTGACAAAAAGGGAATGGAGCTTACCAAAAAGCTACTTTTTCAAATCATCCTAAAGAGCTTCATGCAAGTTCCTTTTGCCAAATAACTCTCAGAATTGAGCGGATGGGCTCTATTTCAAAATATAACTTTTTCAGATAAAAAAACGTGGTTCCATGCGTTCGACACATGAGCACTCACGACAGCATATAGCTTAGACTACTAAGCACAGACCAGTAACATAAAACTTAAAATATGCTATTATTTTCTTTTGAAATACATAACAGGGATGTGCATCTTTCCCTTTCAAGACAATTCAATACGTATCTCGATACATGGGCTCAGACACTATACAGAAACGATACGTTTTAATTTGAAGTGATTCGGTGCGATTCGGTTTGATTAGAGGAACGAATCAATGCAATTCGGTTCGATATGATTCGATGCACTAAACACATTCCGTTTCCATTCCAAATGAAAATCTGCTGCAGGTCGAGCTCATGAGCTAGGCCTCTCTGAGCTGACGTGTGTGTGTAAATGATGTATATGGTGTAGGCCTGTGTAGGCACCTGAGCTGAGACCCACCACTCACACTTTTGATCTGAAGTCACCATTACCCATTCATTAATTAGCAACATTTGCAGATTAAAAGTGTTAGAGCTAGTAATGTATTATTATTTATCTTGAAAAATGTGCTATGCCAATGAGAATATAGCACAATTTTGGATTTCACCCCTTCTCATAACCGAATGGTTTAGACCATTTGGAAGTTTTGACAGCCTTGGAGTGAGCTTCTCTTCTTCTCCTGCTTCGACCATGCAGTGCGGGTAGCAAAAGTGATTGCTGTCCTCGTTATGAAATTATCAACTTTACCCTGTATATCTAAAAATGACTGACTGATTGTTTCAAGCAAAACCATTGCTGATGATGAACCTAAACAATCAAAATAAAATTGAATGTAAACTCCGATCAGCATGTAGGCTACAGTATAGCCAGATGAGAGTTGTGTCTCTGGCGGTAGCTTAGGCTACTTTTATTCCAGTAAAACAACATTTTCAACAGCACATTTGATAAAAATAACCTAGGAAATTACATTGGTTGTCACTCAACTAATAAAGCCTAATATTGCGCAAGCCATTTTACAAACATTTGAATGCTGAAGGTGACGCGCAGATGTGCCAGATCAGGAATAGGCCTACCTCTCTTTGGTCAGTGCGCCAAGCTGTGCACAGCGCACAGTTTGACTAGGCTGCTGATATTGCCTGAGGTTGTTCGGAATGTAGATCAATGACTGTGGAACACCGTTACATGATTAGTTAGACAATGTAGGAGAGGACGCAAGTAATTTAATCAAAAAAAGTTAGTGAACTGGCAATTCGTAACGTTTTAATCGATTTCCTGACCAATGCATACTACATTTGGATCAGTTTGGACTGATGTGTATCAGTGAATCTTACATCCCTCTTTCATAATGTTTCTTAAGACCTGCAAAAACAAAATAATAATTGATTTTTTTGTGATGGATTTAACACTTGAATGGTGGTGTTTTGTTTTGTTTTTAACAGTCTAGAGCAGGGTTTCCCAAACTTGGTCCTGGGGTCCCTCCTGGGATTTACACACAGAGTCAGCACTTGGTAATACAGACGCTAGATTGGCTAGCTAGCTATCGTCACTCATGTAGTGATAGCCAGCTAATTAGCTAGCATTACTGTTAGTGCTACTTTCACTACTCCCTTGGTAAATAAAGCATTCGGTTTCTGCTTACAGCTAATGTTACCCCGTGTCTCGCCAGACTTCTCCAACGAATAGCAGCGCATGGAGTATCTAGCTAGCTAGTCCCGCCGTGCAGATGATATCCCTTTGTTGGACAGCAGCGGCACGCATTTGTACTATACTGTAATGTACTGTACTCTGCTGTGCTCTACTGTACTGTACTGTGCTGTACTGTGTTGTCCAATCTTGTGAAACATAGATGTCTATGATTGGTTCAGAGTTCGTCCGGACCAGAAATCTGCATCCATGGATGTTGAAATCAAGGCCAGTCCAGACCACACCCCAAAAATACCAAAATGACGTTGGCATCGGTTCGTGCTTACTGGGAACGTCATATAGTGAAAGCTAAAGGTTGCATGACAAACATCGGACTCGACCTCAAAAGCACTCCTGAGATCAATGACAGCGATAGTCTCAAAATGTATCTTTATGCCAGCCAAATACCATGGGCAGCAACAAGTGTAGCCTATGTATCAGCACACAATAATCTGCTGTTGATGCCAAGACTTTTTAGCTTCAACCCAATGGCAATGAACAACCTGTGAATTTGCACTGCGTTCGTACTGTGGAAGGAACTTTGCCCAATAAGTGAGTGATTTGCAATTCATGTTTCAAACCAAAATATTGAAGTGTGACAGTGTTCCTAATTTGGGTTGACACTCAGGGTCGACATGCCAATTGAAACTGCACATCATATAATCATGATGTATCTTTTGCTTATTCAAGACCATAACACAAGACCATAACACTTGTTTAGCGCTCCTACCCTAGCCTGGCGGGTAGGAGCGTTGGGCCAGTAACCGAAAGGTTAACTCACTGTTCCCCGGGCGCCGATGATGTACAGTTGAAGTCGGAGGTTTACATACACTTAGGTTGGAGTCATTAAAACTTGTTTCTCAACCACTCCACAAATGTATTGTTAACAAACTATAGTTTTGGCAAGTCGGTTAGGACATCTACTTTGTGCATGACACAAGTAATTTTTCCAACAATTGTTTACAGACAGATTATTTCACTTATAATTCACTGTATCACAATTCCAGTGGGTCAGAAGTTTACATACACTAAGTTGACTGTGCTTTAAACAGCTTGGAAAATTCCAGAAAATGATGTCATGGCTTTAGAAGCTTCTGATAGGCTAATTGACATCATTTGAGTCAATTGGAGGTGTACCTGTGGATGTATTTCAAGGCCTACCTTCAAACTCAGTGCCTCTTTGCTTTGCTTGACATCATGGGAAAATGAAAAGAAATCAGCCAAGACCTCAGAAAAAACATTGTAGACCTCCACAAGTCTGGTTCATCCTTGGGAGCAATTTCCAAACGCCTGAAGGTACCACGTTCATCTGTACAAGCAATAGTACGCAAGTATAAACACCATGGGACCACGCAGCCGTCACACCGCTCAGGAAGGAGACGTGTTCTGTCTCCTAGAGATGAACGTACTTTGGTGCGAAAAGTGCAAATCAATCCCAGAACAACAGCAAAGGACCTTGTGAAGATGCTGGAGGAAACCGGTACAAAAGTATCTATAGCCACAGTAAAACGAGTCCTATATCGACATAACCTGAAAGGCCGCTCAGCAAGGAAGAAGCCACTGCTCCAAAACCGCCATAAAAAAGCCAGACTACGGTTTGCAACTGCACATGGGGACAAAGATCGTACTTTTTGGAGAAATGTCCTCTGGTCTGATTAAACAAAAATATAACTGTTTGGCCATAATGACCATTGTTATGTTTGGAGGAAAAAGGGGGGTGGCTTGCAAACCGAGGAACACCATCCCAACCGTGAAGCACGGGGGTGGCGGCATCATGCTG